AATAAAAGGATGGCTGCTCGCTTTTCTTTTGTCCTCCGGCGCCGGCTTCCGGTACCCGCTCACTGGTCCTGCTGCCCAGTTTCCCTAGTATCCAGGGCCCCGCGCATGCACTGTGTCTGGGCTCTGGTCGGGATGGCTGGGGCTGGGTGTTCAGCAGTCCTGGGCTCCCTCCCCCTCCCTGCTGACTCCTCTCCACCTGCTGGGAGCTGCGGGGAGGGGTGCTTGGGTCCCGCCGACTGGGGCTTGTATCTTACCCCGTTTGCGAGGCGCTGGGTTCTCGCAGGTGTGGATGTGGTCTGGATGTTGTCCTGTGTCCTCAGGTCTTTATTCTAGGAAGAGTCGTCTTTGTTATATTTTCATAGATATATGTGGTTTTGGGAGGGGATTCACGCTGCTCTACTCACGCTGCCATCTTGGCTCCGCCACTCCTATGGAATTCTTAAGTGATTTTTTCTATGTAGAGGTTTTTTTCTAAAAATAATCATTTTCATATGTAGGTAGAGGAGGATGTTTTGTAGCTTTGTCTTTGCTGACTGTTAGGAGCATTCCATCTAGAGATGTCCCTCTAAAATACACTGTAGAGATGGTTTGTGGGAGGTAAATTCCCTCAACTTTTGCTTACCTGGAAATTGTTTAAGCCCTGCTTCAAATTTAGGTTATAATCTTTCTGGGTAGAGTATTCTTGGTTCTAGGCCCTTCTGTTTCATTGCATTAAATGTATCATGCCTTTGCTGACTGTTAGAAAGAAACCGTTATTATTAAGAACTTCATATTAGAGTGATAATTATTTTCAAAGATATAACACTTTTGAAGAGTTTCTCTTCTGAAGATCTTATTTCAGAAATAATGTATTTCTTTGATGTTAAGAATCATTGATTGTAAGATGTACTAGATAATGATATGAAATTGGGGAAAAAACAAAAACAAAATAACTGTCCCAAAACAAACTCCGTAAATATATGCATCAATTATAAGCTGCATCTTAATATCAGATAAGTTGAAATGTAGCAAAATCTTCTTAGAGTTGAGAAAATATATTGACAATAATAATAGTAGTAGCTAATAATGAACGCTTAACTGTTCAGTATGTCATGGCAATCGGAAATATGCCATTTACATTTAATTTTCTTAATAGCCTTTTAAGGTTAGCAGTGTTTCTATCTCTATTTTATAGATGAGGATAGTAAGGCACAGAGTGGCTAAGTAACCAGCTCAAAGTTGCATAGTTAGAAATTGACAGAGTCTGGCCATTTTCTCAGGACTTTCTGATTCCAGAGTGCCTGCTCCTTGCTACAAAGCTGCACTCTAACGGAAAAATGAATTTTTTTTAAAGAGGTAAAGAATTGGTTATAATATAAAGTCTCTGCTGTTGTGTTTTAAATTATAATTTGAAATTACTGTTTGGTTCTACAATTTTGGTCAACTTAAGGTAACATAAAATAATTGGAAGTGAATTGAAAAAGCTTCCTTGTTCAGTAAAAGAAAATGAACTGAAGAAACTTAGAAATTAGTGAGTACAAAGGCAAAGTCCCTATGAACTTACAGAAGTCCCTACGAAGTATGTCATTTTTTATAAAGCTCACAAGTGGGTGAACTTAAATGATACATTGTTTAAGGGCACAGACATATGTCTAAAGTATTCCGAAAACAAGGGATGAAAAATGTAAATTTCAATGTATTGGTTATATTTGGTGGAAGAACGAGGAGGAGCACATAGGTAGCTTCATTGGCTTGTAAGTTGGATGGTGTGTTTACAGTGTTACCTTATTGTGCTTCATAACTTGTATAAATTTGTTAGATACATTTGGTTCATAAGACAAAAGAATACAATAAACTGCCTTAAAAAAGTGTTTTTTAAAGTGAGTTTACAATATATCATTTTTATACTGAGGATGTTTTATTTTTCCCAAGACACTTTGAACTGCTTTATATGTATCTTTTGAATCAGTAAAACAGACTCAGTAACTAATCCATTTTCCTAAGAGTATTAAAAGTATTTTTTTTTGTATATCATAATTGCTCAGTATTTTTGCTTACGTGAAACCTCTGGTATTTGCTGCAAGGATATTTCTTTAATAGACATCTATAAATATTCTTTCTAAATGAAAAATAAGTTTCAATTTTAGAGAGATTTTAATTTCTAGATCTGTAAGTTTAATTTTAACTATCTCTTAAATAACTAAAATGTAAATAAGTTACTTATAGCAAGCATTCCCTCCACTTAGCCCCTCATTGTAAAAGGAACTTAGCACTTTCTTTTCTGTACTTTGTTTTTTACTTGATTTTGCAGCAAGGGCAAGTACTTTGTAACCTTCCCGTATCCGTATATGAATGGGCGCCTTCATTTGGGACACACATTTTCTTTGTCCAAATGTGAGGTAAGCTTCGTCTGTGTTTAATATAATGGGATGAAGAGTCTTTAATAAATACTCTTTTGAAGAAAATGGCATCTACAGAATTTATTTCCTGTTAAGAGAACTTAGAGATGCTTAATTTTAAGCATAATTTTTATATTTAAGTAATTTAACTTTTATATTTATTTTTCATATGCTGTGTGTGCATGTTGTAGGGGTCTGGGTATGTATGTATGCATGGTAATGCCTAGATAGGTGAAAAGATGGGAAAAAAGGATAGTGGGCTATAATTTTGGAATGACTGAAGTCCAGCTGGTGCTGTGAAGGAATATCTGAAGAGGAAAACTGGTGATCTTTGTGAAAAGTGAGCATTTTCTGTTTGTCTAGCATTTAAATTTATAATTTAAATTTAACTTTCTTTCTGTAGTTTGCAGTAGGGTACCAGAGGTTGAAAGGAAAAAGTTGTCTGTTTCCCTTTGGTTTACACTGCACTGGAATGCCTATTAAGGTAAGAGTGCTTTTGGAATTGGTTTCTATTTTTTTCAGCTTAGAGCAAATAGTACTATCCAATTCAAGAGCTTAGAATAGGATTTTTGAACACTTCTGTGTTCTTTTGAAGGTTTTTTGAAATGAATTGAAGTTTTTATAGTGAAAATTAATTTTTAAAAAACATTTGAAGAAGTGCTTAAAGGAACATATGAAAGTCTAAGTGATTTCTAAGGAATTTTGATATCTTTTGGTTACTCTACATATTCATTTCTGTTTTAGAATTAGATAATTAACTATTAACAAGTAAAATAGCAGTGTTCTATTCATTTGTGACATGTAGGATGTTATAAAGTAATAAATAGTTGTATTACATTTTTATCATTTTTGCAAAGATCTTCATTTGTCGTAAATTTGTATTTGAAATAATTCTCAATAAAGAATGGGCCAGAAAATTAGAATTGAAAGGTTGCCTAAATGTGATAGGGTTAGGAAACTTAACTCCCATTTCTTTTTATTTTCTAACCTTTTATTCTGAAAAATGTCAAATCTTTACACAAAAGGTAAAAGGAGTACAGTGAACACCATATACACTTCACTTATAGTTACCAAATATTAACATTGACTAAAATTCCGTTAGTTCTATCTCTCAGCACACATACAATGCAAACATGCTTTTCCCCCGTTTCTATGAACTCACTGAAAGTTAAGTCGCAGACATCGTGACATGTCTCCCTGAGTTCGTCAGCATGTCTCCCTGTGTCTTTAGAGAACAAGAGCATCCTTTTCCATCATACAATGCTGTTATCCCCTCCAGGAAATGTTAACATTTATGTAATATTATCATCTTTATTTAATCTGTAGTCAGATGTTTCTAGTTGTCCCCAAATGTTCTTTCTGTCAGTTTCTTTTAATTTCATGAATCAAAGGTTGCATTTGGTTATCAGTTCTCATTGATGCCTTTGAAAAGTCTAGGTCAGTTATTATCTGAATTTTCTGATTTTTCCTTCATGATTAGATTTGGCTTAAATATTTTTACAAGAATACTAGACGGGAAGGTATAACTGTCCCAGTATATAACATTAAAAGGAATATATAATGGCAGTTTGTCCCATCTTAGTGATACTAATAACTTCATTCTAAAGGTGACTTTCTCCCTTTTTAAGTAATAAGTAGTCTTTGGGATGATACTTTGAGAGCCTCTGAATGTCTGGTTACCAAAACCCAGAGATTTTAGCATCTTTTGACGATCCTTGACTATTTCAGTTATTGAATCAGTGGTTGTAAAATGGTGACCTTCTAGTTGTGTCATTATTACCAACTGAAATTCTTCTGCATCAAAGAGTCCCCTCCCTTTTTAAAAATCACAATTCTGTGCTTGTATTTTTCTTATAACTTTAGCACTGTCTACTGGCGTCATCTTTGTTTCTGACAGTGGACTCATGGTATAGTTGAGAAGAGCTGGGGTGGAAAGCCCAGGTTCATGTGTTAGTTCTGCAGCTTACTAGCTTTATGACCTTGGGTAAATCACTTCTTCAGTGTCTATTCTCTAACGTAATACCTGTCTTAATACCTAGGCTTGAAGTGATAATTAATAGAGTATATATGACAGTAATCTTTAAATTGAGAAATTCTGCTATTAATGTTACTCAGAATAATAACACTGTATCTTGTATATCTTTGTACTTCTAATGCCTAGCATATTAGTCTACATTGAGTATTCTGGATGTTGAATAAATGCTCACTGGGTAAATAAATACTAATTTATAAATTAGTGAATTTTGAGGTACATGATTTGAATTATTTGAGTTTTCTATTATCTACTTATGTATAGATGCATTGCAAAAAATTTCAGGGTCTATTTTATTTGACCATAGAAACAACAAAAAGTTCCAATTATTTCTACCTTGAATTTTGAACTTTGCTACCTCTAATGTTGTTTGTTATAGGCATGTGCTGATAAGTTGAAAAGAGAAATAGAGGTTTATGGTTGCCCTCCTGATTTTCCAGATGAAGAAGAGGAAGAGGAAGAAATCACTGTTAAAACAGAAGATTTAATAATTAAGGATAAAGCTAAAGGGAAAAAGGTTGGTGGTTGGTATTTACTTTGGTTGAAATTTTGTGTTTATATTTGTCTGATTTATATGTGCATTCCCAGTACAAGCACAGTACCTGATGTAAAAGGTACTCAGTAATTTTTAAAAAGTAACAAAAGCAAAAAATTACCCAATTTTTTGATTGCCTTTTCCCCTTTTTATTTTGAAATAATTTTAGACTTACAGAAGAATTGCAAGATAGTACAGAGTTCCTTTATAATCTTCACCCAGTTCTCCTAATGTCATATGTAAACATTGTGCAATCCTCAAAATTAAGAAATTAACATTTGGACAGAATTATTTACTAAATAACAGACTTCATTTGGATTTTACCAGTTGTTTTCGTTAACACCCTTATTCTGTTCCAATGTCCAGTCTAAGATCCCACATTGCGTTCAGTTGTCATGTCATGTCCCCTTACATGTCTTCTCAGTCTCCTCTTTGTTTTCTATGACCTTGACACTTGAAAAGTAATGAATGGTTAGATAACTTATGGAATGTCTTTCAGTTTGGGTTTGTTTAATGGTTTCCCAGAAATAGATTTAAGAGGTGATGTGTCCTCCTGAATGCATCGTATCGGGAAGTATATGATATATCCCATTCTTGGTGATGTTAGCCTTGATCATTTGGGGTAGGTGGTGTCTGTCAGGTTTTCCTGCTGTAAAGATCTCTCTTTCCCCTTTGTGTTCATATGTATTTTGGGAGAGATTCTTTGAGGCTATAGAGGTAATATCTTGTTTCTTCTTAAATATTTGCTCCTTAATTTTGGCTTTCATCAGTGGATCTTGCTGGCAGCAGTTACTACTGTGCTGTTCTAATGGTGATTCTCCATTTACCTCATTTCTTCTACATTTGTTATCTGGAATTCTTCTGAATATTAATTCTGTCTTTTTTTTCATATCAGTATGAATTCATGCATATTCATTTTATTCTTTGGTTTATAATCCAGTACTATTGGTTTTTTGGGGGCACATTGTTACTGCACAGATTGTTCTAGTTTTGGCCTTTGAGAGTCTTTTAGGTTGGCTGTGTCCATCTGACATGCCCCCTCTTTTCTTTCCTTTTTTTTAAAAAACTAGTCTTACTTTCTAGTGCCAACAAGGTACTCCAGGCTCTTCTGGTATTTTCCCTGTTTCAGCCCTGGAATTAACCACTTCTCCCCTTTCCTCTTACTGAAAAATGGTATTTAGGAACTAAGCTCTGAGTGATAGCTTTGCTCATTGTTTCTAGGCCCTCTCAGTAGAAAGAGCAGGGAACACTTATGTATTAAGTTGTCTGTATATTTTGAAAGTTCACACTGATACTCTGGCTCCATTTTAGCATCAGGGGGCTTATTCTAGCATTCTCTCTTTGCTGATTCATGACTTAAACAGTGAGAAACCTGTTTTTACAGTTATACCTATTATTTGTTCAATCCTAGTCTACTCGTAGTTTCAGAATTGCTAACCTCTACCCTGAGGAGAAACACTTTCACCAGCTAAACGATAATGTGTGTGTGTGGTTTTTTTTGTCTTTAGGATCTAGTTAACACATTGTTTTCCAAAATTACTTCCAAAGTTCCTTTCTTTCCCCTTCAGTTGGGTTGTTACATGTATTTGTAATATAGTCAGAACATTTGCTGTAGTCTGCATTCTGTCTGGGGTTTCTGCAACATCCTGGGTGATTTTTTAAAAATTTACATACAGTAACATTTCACTCTTTGTATTGTGTAGTTGTTTGTGTGTTGGTTTGACAAATGGCGTGGAGTTAAGTTTCTACCACCACAGTACCATACAGAAGGGTTCTGTCACCCCAAAAATTCCTTTTCCTGCCTTTTTACGGTTTTGTAGTTCATCCCCTTCACCCACCCTACCTCCAGCCCTTGACATTTGGTTGCCTTCTTGATGCTGGTAAATAATGGAAAAGAAGGAAACTTGTTAGTAGCTTATTCATAATGAAAAAAGATGCATGTGGTATTAGAAACTAGGAATTAGAGAAGGTTTGGTGCTGGAGATCTTATCTTTGTGATAAACCTTTGTGGTTTTTACCCATTTAGTTATCTTTGGTGTCAGAGTCTGGTGAGTATCAGACTGTATAGTTTGGCAGACAAAATAGTACATCTAAATCCTGAAGCATTCTGACATTGCAACAGCATTGTTTTGGAATTTAAAAATTTAACAAATGGGATTATTCACTTAAAAATTACTATGGTCCTGGAATTTGTTAACCAGTTCTCGGTTTTCTTTGATAGAATTTGTTTCTGCTGATTATTTCCAGAGTAAAGCAGCTGCTAAAACTGGATCTTCTAAATACCAGTGGGGCATCATGAAATGCCTTGGTCTGTCCGATGACGAGATAGTCAGGTTTTCTGAAGCAGAACACTGGCTTGATTATTTCCCGCCACTCGCTGTTCAGGATCTGAAGAGAATGGGCGTGAAGGTATGCCCACCACCCTCATGGTTAAGAAAATATGAAGAACCCATTATATGAGATTTGGACCACCATTTACATTAAAAATACTATATGCCTCTGGTATTCCACTAATGAGTTGAACTGTTATTGTCAGATTAGAATGTAATGGGCCTCAGTGTAAGCAGTGAAGCACTTCAGTACTTGTTGTATTGAAATGTGTACCGATCCGTTAGCCATTAGTAGAAAGCAATTCTGTTCAAAGATTATGAAGCAGCCAAACTTTAGCTTGAGTATTTAGGAATACGTAAAGGTATTATTTAAGTGCTCTTTCTTTATTTGTCATAATTCCTGTATGTTTAGTACATAAATGTGTGTGCAAAAACTTAAATATTATACAAATTAATGTAATGTCATATATATTTAATAGGTGGAACGAATGATTTTATTTTTATTTATTTATTTATTTATTTAAATTATCTTTTATTATGAAATATTTCTCACACAGAGAAAACTATAAACAATAATATAATGAGCATCCATGTATCTTCTACCCAGCTTTGTTAAATCTTAACATTTTGACACGTTTGCTTCAGAGTTATATATATATTTTTTTGAGAGGGCATCTCTCATATT